GTACGTCACACGAGTGTCGTATCGCGTTGACCTGTGTCGTAACGACTTGACCTGAGATTATAACGATTTGATTGGATAACCGATGACCTCTCAATTAGGTCACATTCTGACGTAACTATTTTTTCATTCTTAACAAACACGTGAATTCACTCATTCTACAACTTAAATGCATTGTGGGAATGTAAACATCGCGAACATTGCCGTATCGCTGTTTAATTGTGAGTCGAACTGAGACATTATATCCGTCGAAAAACATAAACGCAATGTTTCCAACAGCGATGTTAGCCGAATGAAGCAACTGCAAACCAAGAAACGGGGTGCTACGGAGTAGTTTACTGTAGGAGGCTGTACGAGGCGATGACAACTGACATGCATCTTGACGTCGGTTACCAAGGCAGTGACGTCATGACAGTGTGACGTCATGCAAAATCTTGTACTACAGTACAAAACTCTTCCGCAACCTGTTTATGAAACCGGTTTCGGTTTGAAACCAAAAAAATAACAAAAATACGCTATTTTGTCAATGTAATGCATGTAAGAAGTGGGTAATAAATAAAATACCACACTCGGTCTCATTACATACGAATTATACGAAACGAGTGTCCTTCCTATGGTATCTGACCGAGCGAAAGCGAGGTCAGATACCATAGGAAGGTCACGAGTTTCGTAAAATTCGTATGTAATGAGACCTCGTGTCACATACCATAGGAAGGACACTCGTTTCGTATAATTCGTATGTAATGAGACCTCGTGTAGTATTCTCTATATACGCCTAATTATTATTTTCACCACTGACTTCTTCAACGACTTCTTAGTCGGAAGTCACCTTTTGATAATGCTACCAAGCCTGGTTGGTTTTGGGGGTCTGAATGGCGTCCAAGACAAGACGCCAATTGACTTCGTGAAAGGTAAATGCCGAAGGAATGAGGGGGGAACGGTATCCAACTCGGACGCCCTGATTAAATTGAGTAGAAATTTATGTCTTACGGCTCCTAAAACTGACAGCTCTAACACACGGGGCTGAAAACCGACTTCTCTCGCAAACAGTGATGAGCAATGGAAGTGTTCAGAAACGGTGCACGAAAATCACAGCTTCAACTAACAGTCCTGACAAAGTTCAAGTTTGTGAAAGCTTTCAAAATAGCACTAAAACCGAAACTTGGCACAACAAAACCTTGGAAGCTGAAACTTGCTCGGAGCTATCATGAGTGAAACACATACCTGGAAACTAATTCCTGTTACAAACAAAGCGCTGAAACTATCTGGTGCAGCTGTACTGGTGACTGATACATGCACTATGCACATATAAAGGCAGGGACACCTCGATAATCCGTCCCGGATCGTTTCACAGCCCAACAGTAATCGTCTGGAACAGGGAGTTTGTGAACGAACGGAACCCAACCTAACGAGATCCAGTCAAGCGAGATCCAACCGAACTGGACCCGACCTACCGAGATCCAGTCAAACGAGATTCAAATTAACTACACCCAACCTACCAAGATCCAGTCAAACGAGATCAAACCTAACTGGACCCATCCTAACGAGATCCAGTCAAACGAGATCAAACCTGACGAGTTCCAAACCTAACGGAATACAGGCAATCGTGATCAAACCTAACGAGATCCAAACCTAATGGAATACAGGCAATCGTGATCAAACCTAACGAGATCCAAACCTAACGGAATACAGGCAATCGTGATCAAACCTGCCGAGTTCCAAACCTAACGGAATACAGGCAATCGTGATCAAACCTGCCGAGATCCAAACCTAACGGAATACAGGCAATCGTGATCAAACCTAACGAGATCCAAACCTAACGGAATACAGGCAATCGTGATCAAACCTGCCGAGTTCCAAACCTAACGGAATACAGGCAATCGTGATCAAACCTGCCGAGATCCAAACCTAACGGAATAAAAGCAAAGTCTAACGGGATTTCACTTAACACGATGTTCTTTGTACAGTCAAAGTAAAGTGTATTTACTCTGTGTATCAGAGAGATCACGCTACCCCCTGCACCGTTAAACAAACATGATCTAAAACCAGAGTAAATATACTGGTGCAGTTTTAATTCAACATGCAGTTCAAACACAGCGTGGTGCACACGGGGCATGGTGCTCGTATCGTATTGCATCTGCAAGTGCTATGTTTACTGTTTCAAGTGCCAGACAGAGATCGATGGGGCACCCTGTCCTTCATCATCAGTGGGGGCTGTGGGTAGCCTAGTGGTTAAAGCGTCCGTTCGTCACGCTGAAGACCCGGGTTCGATTCCCCACAATGTGTTAAGCCCATTTCTGTGTCCGCCGCCGTGATATTGCTGGAATATTGCTGAAAGCGGCGTAAAACCAAACTCATTATCAGTGGATGCAAATGATTTCATAACCGTGGTTTAAGTGCAGGTATCAATGCACCAAGCATCGCGACGCTTTAAAACCAAGGTAATGCCTCAATGTACACATGCCCAAGTGTTTTAGTCTGATTACAGTCACTTGCAGTGAACCCATGAACATCCGGGTTACAGTTGGTCTTCAGCAACCCATGTCTCTACAGCTGCAGATCAGAAACAAAAATGTCGAACTGTTCTCTGAGATCCGTGTCTTCTTGTGATGTTGTGGGGCGATGGGGTAGCCTAGTGGTTAAAGCGTTTGCTCGTCACGCCGAAGACCCGGGTTCGAATCCCCACATGGGTACAATGTGTGAAGCCCATTTCTGGTGTCCCCCCGGTGTGATGTTGCTGGAATATTGCTAAAAGCGGCGTAAAACCAAAACTCAGTCAGTCAGTCTTGTGATGTTGTAGGTGTTCATGCTGCCAATAAGTACTACATGTTATCACTTTTGTCGGCAGAGAGGTAGTTCATTATGTTGTCAATGTTATCACATTGACATTTTGCTTGTGTGAGTGTATGCATCGCACGCTGTTGTGGTGGTCCATATGTGTGTCTGGCGCTGTGGTTGACAAAGCGCTTTTACAATTCAAGTCAAGACTGTGTTGACGGCTTAGTCTGGGGGTTGACGGCTTAGTCTGGGGGTTTTGTGATCAGAGTATGTTTTAAAATACTAGGTTGCAGTCCGTCGTTTCATGCTGTCAATTCCCAGGGCGGTAGTTGGATTTTTTTGGGGGTGTTGGACTGCTTAGTGTGAAGTGATCTGAGTTTGGAGGGTGTATGCGCTTTGAAATAAGTTCACATGTTGTCGGCTGAGTGAGTGAGTGTGGTTTTACGCCTCTTTTAGCAATATTCCAGCAATATCACGGTAGGGGACACCAGAAATGGATTTCACACATTGTATTCTTGTGGGTAATCGAACCGGGTCATCAGCGTCACGAGCGAACGCCCTATCTACCCAAGAATGAACTAAGGTCGCTTAAGAGTCCAGAGGAACGTCACGTGGCTCTGTCTATCGGAAACAGATTTCGCAACAGTAGTAGATTGATAAAATAACATTTGTGATGGGAGGTGGGTACCCTATATCCAGGTCAAAGCTATATTTTTTCAGCTAGCCACTACTGGTAGTCCAAGATAGGTTGTAAACACTCATAAAACGCCTTTGAGACAAATGTGCGTTGCTGAATATTTTGGAGAAGCTATTTGGCTTGTTACAGGTTGAGAAAGTGTATTCATGTGCACATGTCCATCGTTCAACTTGTCTCGAACTACCCACTCACTACCCCTTTCTTTACAATGGTATGCCCAAGTAGGTGGACCTCATACATTGACATAAGGGGTCAATGATCAGGATTTGACTTGACCTGGTTTGACAGTTGGCAACCACAGGTGACCTTTCATTGCGACAGCCAGACGTGTGTTGACATGAGGTATAGGCTTGGTCACAAGACTGGTTAGATTGTCGTACTGCCTCTAGTATAAACAATAAGTTATCGTAAGAGGAGGGTGGTATTTTTATCAGACCTTTTACGATATATCACTGTACGATCGGGACGGATAAGTTGAAGATAATAAACTTAAAGTCTAACACACTCCCATAAATAGTGAGACAAGTTCTAAAAGCGTGTAAAATATTAAGCTATATACGTTATACTTAAGTAGTGCCAACGGGATTTGATAAAAATATGTAAAAAGTTAACATTTCTTGTGAACAGACGAGAAATTGAGGGTCAGTTGTATCTAATACCACTTAAACAAAAACTATATATGTAAAAACGTTCAATATTTTTCAACAAAAATTGGTATGATTATCAAACAGAACCTAAAGTGTTCTTTTGCTATTTGCAGATTTTGGGCATTTTTATTTTTCTCGGTTTCCATGGAAACAATTTGTACTTAGTCTCAAAAGGGAGGGCTGGGCTTCGTTTCCGGAGCACAACTCGAAAACCGTTTAATATCTTGAAGTGGTGCCTTTTGCTATTTGCAGATTTTGGGCATTTATATTTTTCTCGGTTTCAATGGAAACGATTTGGACTTAGTAAAAAAAATTAAGTTAGACTTTAAGTAACTGTCAGATGATTTGTCCTTTCAAATTTGTTTGGTCAGGGGGATTTGTCATCTTCTGATGATCAACTGGGTGTCTGTCAATTGGGAGATAACCTCTGATGACTCTTGTTTGCTAATTTCGCTGGCAGTATATCTGATTCCGTTAACCATGCAAGGCAACTAACGTTGTATTGAATCAGTTTGTGTCGATGTGAGTTTGGTTGTATTTTAGTGGTAAAAGAGTCATCGTTTATCCACCATTATTTGTGTTATCTATAGAGAGTGTCTCAGTCCACTATTCTCCACAGACAAAAATGTGCCCAAGAAACAGGATTACATTGCAGCCCTACTGACGAAGACAATATAGTCAAACACCGTTGTGTCGAAGTTGAAAACACCTATATAAATACTTCGAGATATCCGATGTTCGACAAACTTAGTGATGACTAAGGATGGAGTACACATGGGCCAAGCTATTCCTCGAGACAACCATATGTTCGACTTATCAAAAGTTCGACACAACGGTATGTGACTGTAATTACTGAATGTGCCACTTCAACCTGTTTGTAGATATCCCGTCTGGCCAGCTCCCCGTGTTTGAGATCGACGGTAAGCAGTTTCCCGAGAGCATGGCTATCTCCAGGTACCTGGCAGCGGAACACGGTGAGTTCCACATACAAAAATATCTTTCCAGATAATATATTGGGCGGTTGGGTAGCCTAGTGGTTAAAGCGTTCACTCGTCACGCCTAAGACCCAGGTTCGATTCCCCACATGGGTGCTATGTGTGAAGCCCAGGATATTGAAGGATTGTGAACGCTCCAAGGGACATAACTCTATGGGGTTCGCGATATGCAACGTTGCATTTATTCATTCGAACTTTGTAGTTTGTTATAAGTCAAATATTATATATTTTTAGAGAAATGTGGTGTGACATTGTGCCTTTAACTCATTTACTCACTCATTCACTCACTGGTTCTCTCATTCCCACAGGTCTGGCAGGAAAGACGCCGCTTGATCGCCTGAAGGCGGACTACATCTCGGAACAGACTCGCTCCATGAAGGAACCAGTTTACAAATACTTCTTCCTTGAAGACGCGACGAAAAAGGTAAGTTGCTTTAGTGAGCGTCAATGCAGCGGCGGGGTAACCTAGTGGTTAAAGCGTTCGCTGGTCACGCTGAAGATCGGGTTCGATTTCCCACATGGGTACAATGTGTGAAGCCCATTTCTGGTGTCCCCCGCCGTGATTTTGCTGGAATATTGCTGAAAGAGGCGTAAAACTAAACTCACTCACTCACGAGTGAACGTCAATTGTACCCCCACGATGATATAGCAATGTTGTCGTAGACCATTAGGAGTCTGCGATTGGTTGGTTGGTTGGTTGGTTGGGTGCGAATGGCTAATTTTCTAACGACGATGGCCTGGTTCTTTTCCTAAAATTGGCCATGGTCTAACAGCATTTTTGTCATGTCCACAAACCCAGTGGTTTCTGTAAAGGTGATTGCGAAGATAAACGATATTTGGTCTCTTAAAATATCAAACAAACATTTCTAGATATGTTGTGTTCAGTAATAACTTGTTTATTCTGTCATTTCAGGCTGAGTTGGAGAAAGCTTTCTTCGAAGAGACTGTACCCAAATATTTCGGCATGTGGGACAAGGAGGTGGCGGACAACACCTCTGGTAACGGCTTTCTGGTGGGGAAGGAGGTGAGCAGGGCTCGTTGGTGTCAGTTAATTAGACTGATACTTGATGGTGACGTTGATGTCTCCAGATTACCTTGATACGACTATATGACGTTGATGTCTCCAGATCACCTTGATACGACCGATTAGGTTGACAATCTGGATAGTTGAGACTAGTTGATTACGATGACAATAGTGGATAATGGGTGCATTCTGATTACGTTGAGACTCGTTGATTACGATGACAATAGTGGATAATGGGTGCATTCTGATTACGTTGAGATTCGTTGATTACGATGACAATAGTGGATAATGGGTGCATTCTGATTACGTTGAGACTCGCTGATTATGATGACAATAGTTGATAATGGGTGCATTCTGATTACGTTGAGACTAGTTGATAACGATGACAATAGTGGATAATCGGTGCATTCTGACTACGTTGAGACTAGTTGATTATGATGACAATAGTTGATAATGGGTGCATTCTGATTACGTTGAGTGACAATAGTGGATAACGGGTGCATTCTGATTACGTTGAGGATAGTTGATTGCGATGACAATAGTGGATAACGGGTGCATGCATTCTGATTACGTTGAGACTCGTTGATTACGATGACAATAGTGGATAATGGGTGCATTCTGATTACGTTGAGGATAGCACTTGTTGATTACGATGACAATAGTGGATAATGGGTGCATTCTGATTACGTTGAGTGACAATAGTGGATAACGGGTGCATTCTGATAAGGTTGAGGATAGTTGATTACGATGACAATAGTGGATAATGGGTGCATTCCGAATACGTTGAGACTAGTTGATTACGATGACAATAGTGGATAATGGGTGCATGCATTCTGATTACGTTGAAACTAGTTGATTACGATGACAATAGTGGATAACGGGTGCATGCATTCTGATTACGTTGAGACTAGTTGATTACGGTGACAATAGTTGATAACGGGTGCATTCTGATTACGTTAAAAATAGTAGATTACGATGACAATAGTGGATAATTGGTGCATTCTGATTACGTTGAGATAAGTAGATTACGATGACAGTAGTGGATAACGGGTGCATTCTGATTACGTTGAGGATAGTTGATTACACTGATGGTATTTAATGACGTTGTTACTAGCCGATTACTTTGGTACAAGTGGGACCTGTTAAGATCCGGGTTAAGATCTTCAGCAACTCATGCTTGTCGTAAGAGGCGACTACCGGGATCGGGTGGTCAGGCTCGCTGACTTGGTTGACACATGTCACTGTATCCCAACTGCGTTGATCGTAGATCGATCGATCGATCATTGGAATGTCTGGTCCAGACTCGATTATTTACAGACCGCCACCACAGCTGGAATATTGCTGAGTGCGCGTTAAACAACCATCCCAACCAACCAATGGTACAAGTGGATTACGTTAATACGTATGAATTTAACGGAAGTTTAAGACTCGATTATTTACTGCCGCCGACAGCTGGAATAATACTGAGTGCTTCATAAAACAACAAACAATCACACCTTGCGGGACGACACTAACCAGCTTCATTGCCTTTCAACAGGTAACCATTGCTGATTTGGCCGTGATGGACGCTCTGGACTTTGTCCTGCAGAACCAAGACGTCAAGGCAACATTCGCCAGCAAATTCCCAAACCTTTCGAGAAACTACCAGGCTGTCACATCCCTTCCCAATATCAAGCAATACAGGGACACGCGACCTGAGAACAAGATCTAACTGACAAGATAAAACGTAATCTGGACTTGGCTAATTTGTAGTCCTGAGCCGATTGCGGTACCATTTTTATCATTTAGACTACAGTAGGCATTAAATAAATACCCTCATGGCAACTTCTCGATTCCACGTACAACTCTGAAAACATACTATAGACTGATGCCCAGTCTCCCTTTGAAGGGAATATATCTTAACTGGTTTTGCAACTGTGTTGCGAAATTTGCACGATCCCTTTTCCCGAAGAGGACTCCATTCAACGAAAATTACATTTGTTTCCAAACTTGCTGCCAAATTTCGCGCGTGTATATATACGCTGTGCAGTCGACATCAACGGAAGGGTTCGGGCTTTAGTAGGTGGGGCAGTCAGTCGGTTGTGGGAACAGCTTCAGTGCATGTGTCGAGTCGACAAATACGATGAATACACGTTGTACATGATCACCCTGCCATACCCCCCCCTGCTCAGTGGAAATGGATTCGTCCGTTGACACATTATTAAAAAACCACAGGTTTCTTATTTTCCCTCATTGTCCCTTAATTGATAATTGATCCCTTATTCCGAACTTTGCCTGTCCGTGCCGTCGGTATGTTGGATGGCATCGTTGTTGGTGCATGATTTACGTTATTCTTTTGAGACAAATTGTATTTTAATAAAAAACAATATAATATCTGCATCGTTCTTTGTATGGTGATCTTTGAAGATCAGGTTAGAACTGATCTTCAGCAACCCATGGTTGTCCTTAAGTTGACAGGTTCTGTAACTTTGCTGACTTTTGTCACCGTTTCCCAAATGCTTACATAGATGCTGTACCCGTGAATGTCCGGGTTAGAATATTGATCTTCAGTAACCCATGCTTCCGTCCGTACGTACGAATTGGAATATCTTAAGAACCGTTGACTAGGTTCTTTTCATATTTGGTATCTGGGTTCATCACAGTATAAGAAAGGTCCCAGTCAGGTTTGGTGACCTTGACCTCCATTTCAAGGTCACAAGGGACTTTAACGTTTTACTCTTGTCAGCGAGATATCTTAAGAACCGTTCACTGGATTTTCTTCATATTCAAAACACCAAGCTTTATCTAGGGAAGGCGCTGGGTCCAGTCGATTTTATTGACCTTCACATAATTTTCAAGGTCATGGCGACACTTTGAAGATTTCAGCATATTAACCTGCATGTTATGCTTGTCAGCGAGATACCTCAAGAACCATTCACTGGATTTTATTCATATTTGACATCAAGCTTTATCTAGGGAAGGCACAGGGCCCAGTCGACCTTCACATAATTTTCAAGGTTATCGTGACACTTTGAAGATTTCAGCACGTTAACCTGAATTCACTGGATTTTCTTCATAGACTTTCAAGACTTCCCTTGAATGTTTCTTTTGTACCATTTTTGCATATTTCATACACTATGACATTCATGTCCAGGTCAAAGTCAGTCTTGAAAATATTTGTGTGTTTGAACAACTAAAGAGCAAGATATCAAGAAAGGTTGACTGGTCATGTTTTTGTTGACATTTAACTTCATCTTAAACTTTCATTACTTTTTAAGTTTGATTTGATCATTTGCGGCGGGGGATTGTGTCACTTTAGTGACAATGCTTGTTAACAGACTGTCGCCATATAGCTGGAATATTGCTGAGTGCGGCGTAAAACTAAACTCACTCACACTACATAAATTCACACGATATCAATCACTGGTTTGTCTGGTCCAGACTCGATCATTTATAGACCGCTGTGATGTAGCTGGAATATTGCTGACTGTAGCTTTAGCATCACCGATTACACTCAAAGAACACATTCACACATTCATATTTCTTCTTGCCAAAACCCCTTTATCTGCACAAGATCTTTCGCCGTCCAACGGATCTTCATGTGTACAATTAAAACTATGCGTAGTCATTTTTATATATTTATTGCTTATACGCCAGCAGAAACCACTTGTTTGAATATAGATAGATATAGATATATATAAGTATGTGTGTGTGTCACATTGTTTTGTGGATTTCTCTCTCAACCTGAAAAGTACTTACTCAGGTATTCATGGAACCTATTGATGATTTTATGGTTTGAATGAATCAAATTCCGAACGTCAGAGAGGGTCAGTCTCGATTATGTTATGACCCGAGCGGCAGAAGAGTGAGTGAGTGAGTTTAGTTTTACGTCACTTACCAGAAATGGGCTTCACACATTGTACGAATGTAGGGAGTCGTACACGGGTCAACGGCGTGACGTGCGAACGCTTTAACCACTTGGCTACCCCACCACCCCGAATGAGGCGACACAAGGTATTCGCAGAAAGATTAAGTATAACCTCCTCTATCATTGGCGATCGCCGCTCATTCACAAGGAAGTGCCCGCGAAATGGTACGTGTGAATACTCTACGTAAAGGTCATAGCAATAGATAGCCCCACGCATCGTGTTGACAAGAGACATGTCACATTCCCGGAATTCCGGGTATGTCCTTGAACCGTCCAGTTTCATGAATGACCGAGCGCGAAATTGTGAACCCTTGCTTAAAAAGCCTGCGTGTATGTGCAAATAGGCGGGTCGTTGTTGGAAAAACTGCACATGATATACTGAACAGCAAAAGAAACGCAACCCTGTTTTTTGTCATGTTTTTAAATAGTAGACACAAACATGAACGCTTACTTTTATGAGATTATGAGTATATAAAGTACTTAGGCAGTTGAGAAATCGGGATTCTGTAAGTTGCACAGATGGTATGTTAGTCAACTGATATGCCACACAGAGGTACAGATAAGCTGCGTATCTGCGTAAATTATGCAAACATTTATGTGAAAACTCAATTCTTACCAAGTCTGTTGCGTACAAGTACGCTTGAATGTTTGTAAATACTCAATATATTTCATCTTGCATGCGTACACACAAAAATGTCAAATCTTTGTTTGCGTACCGGTGCATAGATAAAATAACTGAGATACATTGATAGGTTCTATTTCATCACATGAGGTGAGGTTTAATTGGGTTTTACGTCGTGCTTGAGAATATTTCGCTCATATGACGACGTGCATGCGTGTGTATGTGTATGTCCGGCTGCTTGTACTAGCCCAGACTTAAGCTGGTTTTATAGTGCTAGCCCACTGAGTGTGAAGCAGTGAAGCATGAATACCCCACTCAGACACATTATACTGACTCCGAGCCGACCAGTCCTTGTCGTACCCATTAATGCCGAGCGCCAGGCAGGGACCAACAACTACCATATTTAAACGTCTTTTGGTATGACGCGGTCGGGGATCGAACCCGCGACCTTCCGCTCTCCGGGCGGACGCTCTAACCACTACACCACGGAGGCGGTTTCATCACATGAACTAGGCAACCTGCAGTCTTTCTTATAGTTTCTCATATTACAGATCCAATATAAATAACATTTAAACGTCATTATATTTTTACAATGGAAAATGACAAAATACCCAATTGAGTTTGAGTGAGGTGGGTACAATTTATTGGGTTACTCAAAGGAAAATTAGGATCCCCAACTGAGATGAGTACATAACTCAATGACCCCAAAAGTTATCTGTAGCTCTGCCACACGTGGGAGATCCGAGTTAGAATTTATCTTCAGCAACTCATGCTTGTCGTAAGAAGTGACCAAAACTTGCCAGATTTCGCTGTATCCCAATTGCGTAGATCGATGCTCTTCGATTCTACCGCTACACAGTATATTTATGTAATGAGTGTAGCGGTAGAATTTTCTAAAATATTTATATCTTCATAGATTTCGTTCACATTTGAAATGTTAACCATAACATATAAAAATACTATATGATTGCAAAAACTTAGATTTTGATTTTAAAAAGTATTGTCCAAACCGTGATTCGAACCCCTGTGGTTTAACATGCCAAGACGATCACTCCTGGTTTTATTACCGTAATGCTCAAGCATGTCAGGGATTGCATCCCACTCCCTCTATCCACTAGACCACGGCGACCTTGACCCCTGAAGAATGCTTAAATCTAAATCCGTATCGGCAACCCTGAAGAATGAATAATGGTGTTGTGCGTAAAAGCTCAGTTCCGCCAGTGAATCACCCGACAATTGTGAACATAATTACAGGTCTGGATTGTCCTCTAGGGTCATTAAATTGAAAACTGCACTGTCAGCATGAATAACTATTTTTCTGTAGAAACGTATAGTACCACCGTCTAAAAGCATCATGATCTACGTAGATGATACTTTCATCTTTCATCCCTGTATATGACATTACAATCCCAGATATAACATATTACATTTGAGTGTGTGAATTGGGTTTTACGCCTCTTTTAACAATATTCCAGCAATATCACGGCGGGGACACCAGAAATGGGCTTAACACATTGTACCCATATGAGGAATCGAACCCGGGTCTTCGGCGTGACGAACAAACGCTTTAACCATTAGGCTACCCCACCGCCCCTGTTACATGTGAGTGAGTGAGTGAGATTAGTTTTACGCCGCTTTTAGCAATATTCCAGCAATATCACGGCGGGGGACACCATAAATTGTTACATTTGACCACTTTCTAAATAACATTGTGGATTCCTAGCTATCGGCCGTGGGAGCCTAACCCTTGTCAGAGGGGAAGGCAAGCTGTTTAGTTTATACCATCAGTTGTTAAACTTCTATATTTGTGGAAGCCTCGGCGAAGGCTGAGTGGGTTAGATCGCAGACTCGGGATTCGAATCCCCGATTTGAGTCAACCCCAAATTATTCTAGAATTAGTTCTTTGTTGAGGAAGTGTAATCTCAAATATAACATGTAGGGTAGGACAAGTTTCGTCACGCTTTGGGGCGGAGGGATAGTCTGCCTAATGGTTAAAGTGTTTGCTCGTCACGTCACCTGGGTTTGATTCCCCACGTGGGTACAATGTGTGAAGCCCATTTCTGGCGTCCCCCGCCATGATAATGCTGGAATATTGTTAAAACTAAACTCACTCACTCACGATAGTTCGGAATGAAAAGAAGTTTCAATATGTTTTACAGTTAGGAAATATTTAAAATCAATTGGCTTTACTGTTATATGATAAAGCGTGTTTTGTCACCGTTTCTACAAAGTTCTTGAATTTGAATTTAATGTGGGACGCTTTTCACTAATACCACGTTCACATGCAATGCACTGGGTCACGTTCAGATATATAAATATACCTCTGTGTGTATGTACATATGCCATGAGTTCACATGGATGTGTGTGTGAATAACGTATGTGTATGTAAATAGCAAAAGGCACATACTTCCACCCGCCTGTTCAGGACATAAAAAAATGGAAGGTGAGGTGAAATGGGGTTTAAAGTCGCACTTAAGAATATTTCGCTCATATGACGACATGCATCTGTGTGTATGCGTGGCTGCTTGTACTAGTCCAGACTAAAGCTGGTTTTATAGTGCTAGCTCACTGGGATACCATGCTACAGTTAAGCATGAATACCCCACTCAGACACATTATACTGACTCCGAGCCGACCAGTCCTTGTTGTACCCATTAATGCCGAGCGCCAGGCAGGGACCAACAAGTGCCATGTTTTAACGTCTTTTGGTATGACCCGCCAGGGGATCGAACCCGTGACCTTCCGCTCTCCGGGCAGACGCTCTATCAAGCTACACCAGGGAGGCGGTCGTAAAAAATTGAAGAGTTATTTTCCTGTCAATGGCGTTTGTGAGTTACCTTACAAACTG